AGTGTCAGCAGCTCGAGAGCGTGGCAGGATCAATTTAATCTAATCCAATACAACAAGCACTCATCAAATGCGTACTATGTGCCAGGTGTTTCTGTTGGGCATGGAGACGTGGAGACAAAAATGAAAGCAGGGCCTGCCCTCAAGGAGCTTCTGTTCCATTGCTTCACGTGTCCTACAGATACAGAAGGTCTAGCTAAGTCAATTTGGGGGAGGGGAGAGGGCTGAACAGATCTGTGATCTCACAGGCTTCAGTGCCCCTAGCGATAGCATGGGTCCCCACTGCTCCAACCCTCTCATCCTCCATCATTTCCAGTCACATCTTTCCATAATCACTCCACAGAGGACCAAACTGGTAGCCTCTCTGGGGTTCTTTAAACATGGGATAGATGCCGATGGAACAACAGACTGGATCAATCCATCAGCAAGTACTGATTAAGCACCTACTAAGCACCAGGCACCGATGCAGTGGGGCTCCAAATACAAACAATGAAAGAATTCCTACTCCCTCTAATGGTGAGGACAAGTACATATGTAAATATGTAAAGCACAAAAGGTTACCAAACTCAAATACATACCAAGTAGCTACATACAAGGTAGTTTGGAAAGGAGATCACTAACAGCTGGGGGACTTGGGAAAGGATTCATGCAAAGATGGTGCTTGGCCTCATGTCAAAAAGAAAGAGGCAGAGGAAATGAGGGAGTGCGTTCCAGGCAGCATGGCGGATGCCCAGGTCAAAGGCATGGAAATGGGAAATACAGAGAGTCATGTGTAAGAAACAGAGAAAAGGCCACTATGGCTGAATAGCAGGAGAAGGAGTAATGTCCAGTGAAGCTAGAAAAAACAAACATGCTGAGGCCAGGTTGTACAGGGTTTTAAAAACTAAACAGGGGAATTCATATTTTATCCAAGAGGCACTAGGGAGGCATCAGAGTTGAATGAGCAGGGAGTGACATGGTCAGATCTGTGCTTTGGCAGCAGTGTGGTGCACGGTGTGGACAGGGGAGAAACTAGAGGCACAGAGGCCAATTAGGAAGCTGTGACAATAATTAGATGAGAGGGGATGAGGGCTTGAACTAAGATGGCAACTGTGGGAGAGAGTGTGAAGTTTAAAATGGTAATATTTGGCAACTGGTTGGATTGTGGGAAGAGATCAAGTGATGGTCAAGGATAACGCCTAGGTCATGAACCTAGAACACCGGAGAGATGGCAGTCTCCTCAAATGAAATCGGAGGATTTGGAAGAGGGGAAGGCTGGAATGAAATAATAATGAGTGTAGCTACGGACATGCTGAGTGAGATGTCTACAAAGATATCCAGCTGAAAACATCTAATAGATGGATGATCGTGTGAGACTGACACTCAGGAGAGACTAAGGCTGGAGATATAGATCTGGCAGTCATGTGCAGAGATGACATTTAAATCCATGGAAGCTGATGAGGCTATTGAGGGTAGGGGGAGAAGAAAGGACTCCAGACAGAACCTTATGGGACACCAAGAATTAAGGAGTGTGATACAAATGGGGAACAGGCAAAAGAAACTGAGAAGAAGTGGTCAAATAGGTAGGAGTATCAGGAGAGTAAACTGTCCTAAAGTCCAGAGAGGAAGAGAGAGTGGTCACCAGGTCACATCCAGCAGAGACTCTGAGAAGGATGAGACTTAGAAGGGATCATCAGGTTTGTCAACTAAGAGATCACTGGATGACAAAAGATGGGAACAGTCAGTGTTGGAGGGATTGTGGGAAGATGGGCATACCGATGCAATGCTGGGCTACGAATTAGGACAACCATGGTGGAAAAATAATGTGTAACTGTGCACAAAAAGTGACTAAGAGGGCCATACCTCTGGACCATGATTTCACCAAGAAGCATATTCCCAAAGGAGGATGATAAAAAGAAAGGCCCCATATACACCAAACTATTTTTGCACCTTTTTGGTAACAGCAAAAAGGTGAAAACAAAGCAGATGTCCAGCAACTGGGGAAATAAGTGAATTGGACGGGCTATCGCTGCACTGTAAGAAATACCAAACATGATAAATACAGAGGAGCCTGGAATCCCTTCAGTGAATGGGCTCAGAGAGAAGTAAGCAGAGCCATGAAAACAATCCACACAGTGGTGACAATAATGTCAATGGAGGGAACCACCACAAAGCAATTAAAATTGCAAATTAAAAATAAATACAGGCAGCTCAGTGGCACAGTGGATAGAGGGCTGGGCCTGGAGCAAGGAAGGCTCATCTTCCTGAGTGGCCTCAGATACTTCCTAGCTGTATGAGCTTGGGCAAGTCACTTCACCCTGTTTGCCTCAGTTTCCTCATTTGTAAAATAAGCTGGAGGAGGAAATGGCAAACCATTCTAGTATCTCTGCCAAGAAAACCCCAAATAGGGTCATGAAGTGTCGGACATGACTCAAACGACTGAACAAAAAATAAATGCTGTGAAATTACAAAGAATCTGGCCCCAAATAAGAGCTATGAGAAGATGCCCCCCCTCACTCTTCTTCAGAGTTTGAGGATCCATGGGTACACTGATTATATGGACTGCGAGGGGCTGACAGATTTTGTTGATTTTTTTCCTTCTTTTTCTATTTCATTTTCTTTTAATTCGTTATAGGAGGTGGCTCTCTGGGAGAAGAAAGAGGAGAGATGCGGGAGAAACTTGCATGATGTAAAAACAAAAGATATCAATAAAAAATTTAAAAACTCTGTAAACGTGAAAAAGAGATATCATCAGTAACCTTGGAGAAAATAGTTTCATTTCAGTGATAAAGTCATGCCCCAGACTGAAAAGGGTTGAGGAGTGAGTGACAGACAAAAGAGCAGTGAGATGTGAACAAACTCTTTCCAGTTCAGCTGAGAAAAGGCACTGGGGCGAGGGCAGGGCCTAGAGAAGTTTTGTTACGGGCGGGGGAGATGGGGGCATTTGAAGGCAAAACAGAAAAAACAAATGACAGGGAGAAGTTGTAGATTTGATAAAAAGGGAGTGAGGACGGGTCCGGGATTTGTTGGAACAAAGGGGAGGGGAGGGGATCAAGTGTAGGGAATGTGGCCCTGGCAAGAGGAAGGGCCCACCTTGTCAAAGACCTGGGATGGAGTAAGTGGAAGAGGAAAGAGGGGGAGACAGTACCAAGGGGGTTAAGATCAAGAAAATGGAAGAAGAGGGAGCTGCCAGTTGGCCCCAGTTTTCTCAGTAAAGTAGGAGGCAAGGTCTTCAGCTGAGAGAGAAGGGGGAGGGAAGTGTAGAAGGCTGGAAGATGGAAGAGAAGGTTTGGAATACCTTCTGGGGGCAATCAGGGCATCAATCAAAGGACTGCCTTGCTGCAGTAAGGGCCCAGTGGAGGTTGGACAACACAAATCAGTTGTGAGACCTGCAGTTTCATTTAACCACTCATGAGCAGGAACAGAGAAGGTAGATGGTGGAAGTGATCCATGGATAAGAGAAGTGTGTATAGGACACGGGGGCGAGGAATCAAGAGCACAGGGTGGCAAGGGAGTGGAATGGTTGATGACAGGGTCATGACCAGAGAGGGAAAGACGTGAAATCAAACCAGAGACAACCTGAGAAAATACTGAGAGTCTCAATGAGGGTAAGCATAGCGAGATGTGGAATGGGTCAGATAGCAGAACACCAGAGTCTCTAACTGGCCAAGTAGGACAGCTGTGAGTAACGGTGAGTGAGACCCAATGTGGGACCATCCCTGGTGCGGCTGAGGTAGGTCCTGAGATTTAAGGAAGCTGAGGAAATGGGAGGTGAGGGGCTTTAGAGGAGCATCTTTGAGGATGTGAAACTTTGACTGAATGGGCCTCAAAGGAAAAAAAAAACATCAGCTGAGCAAAGCAATGAAAATGACAGTGAGTAAGATCAGCAGACCATGGCCTCATCTCCCAGGCCTTGCTTCAGAAATGAGGTGGCTGGAGGAGACAAATTCTGACCCGAATTCATTTAACCCTCTCATGGAGAGATGAGGAAGCCAAGGCCCGGGAGGGGAAGGACCTGCCCACATGGGCAGCCACGAGACTCAAATCCTTCATGAGCGCCTTCTTTGGCTTTGTTTCCCATAAAATGAGGTCATGCTTGCTAACAATAGACAGCCCCAACACCCCTTCCATGAATTTTAAGTAGTGACTAAACTTGGCCAACACACTCTCCTGGGCCCAGGCCTCCACCCCGCCCCTGTTACTTAGGGGACGGGCCATCAAACCGGGACAGCAGCAACATGGTAGACTCCAAATCTGTGCCCCGTGTGTGGGCTTCCTGAGGCTCCTCAGACACCAGCCTTCCACTGAGGGTCCTTGGGCCCAAGCTCCCGGGTGCACTTCCTGGTAGCCACACTACGGCATGTCACCACGGGCCAGCAGGCCTCCCTTTCCCAGTTATAAATAGATCCCTTTCAAAATGCTGACAAGGTGCTCACTGGGATATGGTAAGAGACCTTTTGCCTCTTCTTCCTGGCCTCAGAGCTAAAAATCTCACTGGAGGAATCAGGTCAAACAGGAAGCCCCCTGGGCTGTGGTTTAAACAATTCACACTCAGCACTTTGGGCCTGAAAAGAGCTCCAAAGACCAGAAAATAAAGGAGCAGAAAGCATGTGCCAAGCTCACCTTTAGCCCAGGCAGAGTCAGAGACTGAGAAAGGAAATGCTGAGCAAATAAAAGATCCCTCCCTGGCTTCTGGTCTGGCCCCCAAAAGATGCTTTTCCATCCCAGTCAATGGGAGGAGCCTTGGACAAAGAGGAAGAAGCATTGTGAACGTGGAAGGGAGAAGTAGGTGAGGCCCAGGGCACAGTTAGGTGACAAGGCCCAGACACAGTGCTCTGGGTCCAGAGGGGGAGACCAACCAGGCAGCATTTTTAGAAAGTGAAAAGTGATTTTGCAGAAGAAATGTCACCATCTACACCGCCCCCCTTGCCTTAGTTTTGCTCATCAGGTCTCCAGCTCCACCTCTCCGACCACCCCCAGCACCCTCAAGGGAAACGATTAACCCAGAAGTAGGGCCTACCTACCCAGAGAGCAGCAGTCTGCCCTGAAGCTTCAGATCGGCTGCACAATCTTCCGAGTGACAATTCCTCTCAAAAATAGTCTGTGGAAGAGAAAATAGCAAATAAATCAGTCAGTAAGTAAATGAACAAATAGCTCGATGGTGCCATGGAGAAAGTGCTGCACCTGGAGGTAGGAAGGCCTGGGTTTGAATCTGGCTGCAGACCCTTAGTAGCTGTGTGATCTTGGCTAAGTCACTTAGCTTCCGCTGCCTCAGTTTCATCATTTGTAAAATGGGGATAATAGTAACACCCACCAGGGTTGTTGTGAAGCTCAAATGAGATGACATGTACAGTGCTTTGCAGACTTTATTGCCACATAAATGCCAGTTATCATTATTATTATTATTTATTATTGTAGCTAACATTTAAATAGTGCTTTAAGGTTTGCAAAATACTACACATGTTAACTCAGAAGGAAGGAAGGAGGGAGAGAAGGAAGAAGTTTTTCATTCTATCAAAGTCCTCTCTCTTTCTCTCTCTCTCTGTCTCTGTTTCTCTCTGTCTGTCTGTCTGTCTCTCTCTTCCCCTCTCTGTCTGCCTGTCTCTGTCCTTCTCTCCCCCTCTCTGTCTGTCTCTGTCTTTCTCTCTCTGTGTCTCTCTCTGCCTCTCTCTCTCTCTCTCTCTCTCTCTCTTCCCCTCTCTATCTGTCTCTCTCTCTCTCTGTCTCTCTCTTTCCCTCTCTGTCTGTCTGTCTCTGTCTTTCTCTCCCCCTCTCTGTCTCTGTCTTTCTCTGTCTCTCTGTCTGTCTCTGTGTGTGTGTGTGTGTGTCTCTCTCTCTTCCCCTCTCTGTCTGTCTCTCTGTCTCTGTCTCTCTCTCTCTCTCTCTCTCTCTCTCTCTCTCTCTCTCTCTCTCTTCCCCTCTCTGTCTGTCTCTGTCTCTCTGTCTCTGTCTTTCTCTCTAAAAGCGTATTCTATCAGTGATCCAAGGTGGCCCCATATTATATGTACTGCATTATATGCAGGGGATCTTAGACCAAAAACAGAAAGGGACCTCAGAGTCCATCTTACCTAACTCTCTCATTTTACAGATGAGGAAACTAAGGCCCAGACATTGTAAATGATTAATCCAAAGTCACCCGGGTGGCAAAATGGCAGAGCCGGGATTCAAACCCAGGTCCTGTGACTCCAAATTCAGCTCTTTCCACTCAACTACATGAAATCATTTCATTTTGTTTGTGTCCAAGACTCCTTGGGCATGTGGAGAAATCTACTGACCTCTTTGCAGAATCATGTTTTTAAATGCATAGAAAAAAATATATAGAATTACAAAGGAAATCAATTATATAAAAATACAGTTATCAAAATATTGTTTAAAACAAGTCCATAAGGCCTAGCTTCAAACCCCTGGTCTAGCCCAGCTCCTTTCTTCCTAGATGAGAGGACTGGAAGCTAAAGACCCAGGATCCCACCATTGACAGTAATTAGCTATGTGACCCAGCGTAAGCAACTTAACTATTTCTGCCTTGGTTTTCTCATCTATAAAATGGGGTTCATAAGCGCTCCAAGCTCACAGGGTTTCATGAGGACCCAGTGTGTACAAAATGCTTTGCCAATCTGAAAGCACCATTTAAACATGAGCTATTACCAATGTTGTTTCTGGGCCCTGATTCCCCCCACCCATCCCCTGACTCCTTTCACAAAAGAAAATGGCTCCAGTACCAGAAAGCTTCTACCCAGCTGATGGCTCGAGCCTGAGAGCTTTCCTGATGTTTGTACCAAGGGTGCCTGAGATGTACCCAAGTCCATGAAAACAAGGATTCGAGGCTGGAAAGAATTATTCACAAAAATAGTTTGAATCTCAAGAAAAACAATTTAATTTGAGTTGGATTTAAGTTTGAGGAGCAGGGGACTTTTCTGGGAAATCCATCTCTCCTGAACAGGGACATGTCTGCCATGTCTTCTAATGCTATTTATACTGTATTAAATCTCCTTTTGGTCATTTTTTTCCATGTAGGATGGTCCAAGTCTGATTTCTAGGATGCCAAACAAGTAAGCCTAGAAAACTCCCTGGTCTCCTGGCAGTCTCGAGGTGAGTCAAACAGAGCCGGCATTGACACGGCCCCTGTGGAAATTCCTTGTCCTGTGCCACATTTCCAAAAAGTCACAATATGTCCTAGCCAACATTCCCCTTCTTGATCAGGAAGGGAGGAAATCATAGCCATCCTGGGTAAAGAACACAGGTTTGCGTGTTCCCTGTATGATCACAGCCTAGGGAGGAGCCAAGTTTCTCGATTTCAGAATCGTCTGCCATCTTGGCTGAGGAGAAACTGAGGGGAAAGGAACTGGAAATCTCATCCTACAGACTTGGGCTGTGTACGAGGAAGTGCCGGGACGTGAAAGGATCACAACTATGAGCGGGGGCTAGAAGCCTTTCCTGGCCGGTCCTGGTCAAGAAGACATCCAACATTGGATTCATTTGCCAGGCATGGCGCCATCTTCCTGAACTCATGGTTTTCTTCGAGAACAAAAGACGAACAACAAAACAATACTGGATGCCGTTTTCTTTTATTCTCGTAAGAAAAGAAGGGGGTGGCTAAGTAGTGCTGTAGTGCACAGAGCACCTGGCCCAGATGGGATCCGGGAGAGTCGGACCGACTGCAATGACCGAATAGCAACAACATAGAAAGAAGGGCAGCCCTGCCTCCAGCGCTGGGGAATCCCAGAGAGAAGTCCAACAAGAGAAGCTCACGCTTCTCCAGCCCATTAGGGTCAGTCATCATCCCCAATCGTAGAGAAGACAGCTGAAGGTCAGAGTGGTCAATGGAGGTCACACAGCTCTTTCCAGCATGGCAGCATGGTCTGCATGACCAGAGTGTTGGCAGGAACCGGCCCCATCCTCTCCTTTTACAAACGAAGAAACTGAGCTAATTGGATCCTCACAAAACTCCGTGGGTGAGGTGCTCTGATAATCCCCATTTTAAAATCGAGGCAAAGAGATGACAAGTTGCCTGATCCGGGTCACAGAAACAGAGGCTCAGAGAGGGGGCAGTGACTCAGTAAGGGTCCACGGTCACTAAGTGGCAGAATAATACTCAAACCCAGGCCTTTGGAAGCTCTTCTCAGTGCATTTTCCATCAGGCGGCACAGTGAACAGAGGGCTGGCCATGGAGTTCAAATCCTGCTTTAGATCTGAGCAAATCACAGCCTCCTCATTTACAAAATGGGGACGATAATAAGAACCGTCTCATGGCGCCATTGTGAAAATCAAATGAGGTAACACATGGAACACTTTGCAAACTTTAAAGCGCTATAAAATTTTTAGATGCGATTATTATTATTGTTGCTATTCCTATTCCTACGACTCTACCCTGACCTCAGAGGAGGCTGAAATGCTGTGGCCTCCAGGCTCTCTCCCCAGGCACACACCCTGATGCAGCTGCCATCACCAATCAATCAACAAACACTTATTCAGTGCCCACTAAGTGCCAGGCACTGTGCTGAGTGCACATGCCCCACGCCCAACGCCCTTGGCCTTCACATTCTCCATTCCAGCACAAAGGTCATGCTGAGGAATTCTTTCCACAAGCCTCTTTTCACATGTTCACGATGCCCTGCTCACAGAAAGGCATCCTGCCACTCAGCCCATCCCAATCCCCCAATCCAGCTGGCCCGGGACTGCCCGTCATTAATTCTAAATTCCTTTACCTGATGAAGATGAGCCGAGGGTACCAAGAACAGCTGTTCTGGAAAAACCCGCCATGCCATCCACATTATATACGCCGGCTCAAAAATCAGCCCAAAGAATTTCTGTCACGGCGTGCCAAGCACCCCGTACTCACTGTGTGACCTTGGACAAATCATTTTCTCTCATAGAGCCTTAGTTTTCTCATCTGTAAGGGGAGGAGGAGGAGGAGGAGGACGATGATGGACTTAATTGTCCATAGTGATAAAATGGAAGGTCTAGTCTTGACTTAAGCACGTCTCACTATGTCTGGAGTCCAAGGACCTAAGTTTAACTCTCGTTTATCACCTGTGTGACCTTGAGTAAGTCACTTCATCTCCCTAGACATCAATTTCCCCATCAGTAAAATGAAGGGGCTTTGACTCAATTTGTCTATTGAACTGTGCAAATTTCTGGACTGCTAGTTATCTCGGTTCCTTTTTCTTTTCTTTCTGAAGGCCAATGAGGAGGACCTCTGAGGCTTCTTCCAGCTCTATAATTATGACCATATGACCATATAATCCCAAGTCATAGCTCTGACACTAACTAATTTAGTGACACTTAGCTTATTAGGGCTAGTGTTTTCTCATGGAAAAAGCACTAGATTTGAAGTCAAAGGCTCTCTCTCTCTTTCTCTCTTAATCTCTCCCTCTCCCCCTCCTCTCTCTTTCTCTCTCTCCTTCTCCCCCTTCTCTCTCTCTCTCTCTCTCCTTCTCCCCCTTCTCTCTCTCTCTCTCTCTCTCTCTCTCTCTCTCTCTCTCTCTCACTCTTTTTCTCTCCTTCTATTTCTCTCTCTTGCCAAATTGGAAGGCCAAAAGGCTTCTCAATGTGTCCAAAACAGAACTCATTACCTTCCCCCAAAACCCTCTCTTTCACAAACTTCCCAATTAATATTGAGGGTACCACCATCTTCCCAATCAGCCAGATTTGCAACCTAGGTGTAATCATCAGCTCCTCACTCTTCCTCACCTTCCACACCCTACCTGTTGTTAAGGCCTGACATCATCTTTTGTACATATCCCCTTCTCTCGCTTACCCACCTCTTACCCTGGTGAAGGCCCTCATCACCCCTTACCTGGACTTTGGCAATAGCCTCCTAACTGGTCTGCCTGCCTCAGACCTCTCTCCACTTCAGTTCATCTCCTACTCAGCTACCAAGAAGGCTTGACCACATCCCTGCCCTTCTCAACAAAGAGCGATTACAGATCTACACAATTCTTTCCTCACAACCAGTGAAGGAAGTAACACAAGCATAATCATTCCCATTTCACAGATGATGAAGCAGATGCAGAAAAGTGAGGAGGTGCATACAGATTCATATAGCTAGGTAATGTCAAAGCTTGGACTCAAACTGAGTGTTCCAATTTTAAGTCCTTCCAA